TGGAGGCGATCAATGGGTCGGGTCGGGTGTACATGTCTCATGCTGTAGTTGGAGGGATGTATGTGTTGCGTTGCGCCATTGGAGCAAGTCTCACTGAGGAAAAGCACGTAGCCATGGCTTGGAAGGTGGTGCAAGAACATGTAGATGCCATCCTCTCCCTCACCATGTATTAACACATGCTGAGGGAGAGGATGACATTTGTACATAGTGAGGGAGGTAACTTTCAAAATCCTTCAAAACTTTTCAAGGATTTTGAATTATGGGGTTCAAATGATTAGTAGGCGATAACGTTCCTTGTAACATTTTGCTTTGAAGATGGCCAAAGCTCTATCCACAATATATTCAAATAAATTAGAACAACAACGAAAATATATAAATTGGAAAAAGAAAAAAAGAGCCTATTGAGAATAAAGCTCTAAAGAGTTCCCAGGTCTCGAGTAATCTTAAATATGGCTGTACGAAAATGAAAGAGGATACAAAAGGAATAGAAAAGTGTTTGCTCAATGATTAGCATAAACTTTATTTTTCAATCACATCACCAGAGATAGAGTTGCCTTCTTTTAACTCGAAAGCCTACACTCTCAAATCTTCATTAAATCTCATACATGGATTTCTCTATTTAATTATGTATCTTCATCCGTGTACGTAAATTAAACTGCAAAGAAAAGAGGAAACATAGGAAAAATTTGTTAAATTGGTTGCGATAGCATTAAGTTATGTACAGAAAATTCATATAGTTTCATGCAATCAGTTACATAGAGCTCCAATTTTCCCACAGGCCATCTTTTTTTCTTCTTTAATTATTCCTTTAATCGCGTATGCCATAAGAATAAAACTAGATGCACCAAATGTAACAAGAGAGACTATTAATGTCGAAGAAGGGGGGCCAGCATCAAAAGGGTGCAAGAGTATAAATAGACATCAAAATAGTGGTGTATGTTTGAGAAACTTGGCCAAGTGAGTATTGGCTTTCCGATTATGAATGTTTGAGAGAAAGTTGAGAGCATCTAGATCATGACACAAATTAGATCTGATAAGTTATCATGATTGGTTTTGTGTTCCTGTTCATAACATATATCAGAGACTGCTAATTTATATATTCACAAAATGAAAAAAAACCCAATTACAACTTTATTCATTGACAAATTCAAAACACAGAATTCAGCAATATACTTTGTGAGTTCAGAAACTAACTGTAGACCACAATAATACCAAGAAAGAGAGACTCTTCTCTCAGAAAAAGTAAATAGAAGAGGTATTTAAAGAACTTATTTCACACATGCAATCAATAAAATCCATACAGAAATGGTGCATATATACCTTCAAATAAATGAGAAAGGAGAGAAACTTTAGCACACTAGGGATCATGAATCCAAATCACTTAATACAATTAGCAAAACCAGAAGAAAAACATCAAAAAAGGAAAATATAAACACACATTCAATTAATAAAATAAGTTAGAAACTAGCGTTCTACATATCAAGGATGGGAACTCCTTTATTGAAGAAGGCAGGCAGGTGATGCTCAACTCTCCTCCCCTTCCGATTTCAGCTGTGATTGCTGGGCCTGGTGTGGCTGGAGCATGAGTTGAGCCTGAAGCTGATAGTCAAGAGAATGCTGATGATGTGCAGCAGCAGCCGCTTGCTGTAGTTTAATCTGGTGGTTATAAGGGTTATTGTCAAAGCCGCCACCCAAACCCAAAGAACCAGCTGACACCACACCATTAGTACCAGCAGCTGCATGCATCTGATTAAACCCATTTCCAGTAACTGAATTCGCTGCCGCCGCATCCATCCCATTCACATTGTACCTCACAAGCTCTTGCTGATGAGCCTCGAACAATTGTTGTTGTTGTTACATCAGCTGTCCTCTGCCGCAACCATGTTGGGGCGGAGGACAATTGGAAATCCCCAACATGGGCACAGACGCATTTACATTTGTTTGTTGGGAAGGATGAAAAACTGGTATCATCAATGCCTGAGGGCCAATGTAGGCAGATAAGTCCTTCTTGGAATTGTAGAGATCAGTCTGGATTTGCTTGAGCTTGCCCTGGAGAATTGAGATGAAACCCACACAGCCGTACACTGGGTCTCTGAGGCGGGCCTCCGCCTAATAGGCCAGTGAAGTCACCACATCTTCGCGGTGGGCTGCGTTGAGTTCATTCAGGATCTTGGCGACGTTGCTCACGCCATAAACCCGGTGGACGTTTGCAAATTTCTGAGGCTGGTCGGGTGGGAAATAGGGCTCGAGCATGCATTCTTGCGTGCATTTTCGCCGTAGAAACTTGCACGCAGCACAAGGTGAGTGAGTGTTTGATGACATTTTTTTTTTGGTCCTTAATTTTTCACGATAAACTGCCATGAGAAATTAAAACAAGAACAAAAATGAGTTATCGCTGTTCAAGAATTTACCACAGAAAAGATAAAATGGAAAATGCAAGAGAATTAATCAAAACCTAATTAACCTAATCAAGAATTTGATCCGTCATTCTTTACCGAATGATGAAAATAGTGTAGAGCACTAAAGAGAAATTCTGAGCGCTAATTTGAGAAAACCCTAACCCTAGCTATGAAGCAGCGGAGAGGAATTAATAAATACCCTAATAGATAGATGGGCGAAGCGATCAGAAGATCAGTGTGTCCACTATTTGAAACTCGCTTTGCCGTGTTGGTCTGGTTGGTCTTTGGATGAGAGGAAAATAACAGCAAATAATATTAGAAGGGAGTGTTTAAAGAGAGAGAGAGAGTGTGTGTGTGTGTTTTATTTACTTAATTTTTACTTTTTGTTGTATAACTGTGAAAATAAACATGGCTAATTATCTCAGTCTATATATATATAGATATATATATATATATATATAGGAAGTATGTAAGGTGTGCAATGTATGGTATTTAATATATGAGGCATATATACCATATATATTCCGAAGTCGACGAGAAGTAGTCAAAATCATAGCATACTTAATAAGGTAACCCAAAGCCTAAGTTTAAATCGTCTCTCCCTTTGAATTTATTCAAGTATTTATATTAAAATTGCGCTAATGAAAAAAGTACATAGATTATAGTATGTTCGCGTTATTAAAACGTCAAAGGGGAGAATATAAGTGAAAAAGATACTTCTCTTTTCGCTTCATAAAATGCATTTTAGAGTACGAGAATAGGTTACATGTTGTGGTAACCAAATTAAATCAAAACCCTAGGTCAAATAATTCATTTCATTTGGGGATTATTTGACCTAATTGGGAATTAATCAACCTAATTGGGAGTTACTCAATTTAATTGGGGATTGCCCAATTAAATTGAATGTTATCTAATTGGGTTGAGAATTGATTTGATTCCTACCACGATTCCCAATTAAATGAGGAGTTACCTAATTAAAATGAGATTTGATTTGATACTTATCACAATTAGGGATTTGATTTACCCTAATAAATCAAATCCCTAATTAATCAAATCGATTCCAAATAGGGGAAGAATAATTTCCTTCCATCTACAGAATTATTTCTCTGAAACTCTAGCCTCCGAGACCACTAGAAAAGCATGGCGACACACAAGGGTTGGGGTACGTTTGAAATCTCTACTGAAACTCTACAGAAAATTCCTCTCAAACCCTAGCCACCTCCTTTCTCTCTCTCTTTTACACAAGGCTCCGACCGCCCGGTTTACACCACAAACACATCTCCGTACCCTAGTTAGCTAGTGTTTTTCTTATAAACTCTTGAACTAATTTAGGCATTGGAGAGCTTTTGGCCAACACTCCCCGGGTGTGGCCCTCTCATTTATTCTATTTTGCAGGAAAAAAGAGGAGGTGAAGAAGGAAGATGAATCTTTGCAATAGAATATTCTCGTGATGAAATTTGTACACTCAAATTGGTGCTTTTATTGAGAGCACGAGTTATACTCAACGCGTGCTCAAGGAATCTGTTCCTCATATTTTCCAATCCACCGAAGCCTTCCAAACAATCATGGTTGGAAGCATGAAGACGAGAGGCAAAACAACCGCGATGGCTAAATCTGCGATGGCCCAAAGCCACTCCGCCCACGATCCCGCGATCGACATGGTGGCACCACCACCTCTCACCACCGCACTGGCCACCGCCGTCGAACATGGTGGAACCTCCTATCAAGGTGGGCTTGTTACCACCGCTGACTTAGGCCCGGTCTTGGAGCAATTTCAAGCGTTCCCTCTATTGCCTCCACGCTCGACACACGCTCCTGCGCACACCTCCAATGAAACCCTAGCCGGTGTGCAATTGGGCTCCACACACTTCTCTTCTCCCGATCCACGAAGTCAAGTAGACCTTAGTCTGAAAGTTGACAAGCTAGCTCAGAGAATGGACGACCAAAGCGATCTGATGAGGCAACTCCTCCACCAAATCAGCTTGGCTTAAAACCTTGGCTTTGGACAACTAGACAAAGAGAGAAGGATGGACGAACGCACCCGCATGCATCTCAACGGGTACCCAGCAGGTCGAGCAGGAGTGGGCAGACAAGGCGAGAGACAACAACTTGATCGGCCTGCCAACATGTCATAAGCATCTGCGAGCCCCACTCAGAGCAGATTGAGTTTGAGGAACAGCATGCGCGAGATGCTAGGCCCATAACTTGACATCCACACCTGCTTGGGCCCGCAGGGAAATGTACTTCAAAGACTAGGCCCCCAGGGAGGTCAGCCAGACAACCATCGCAATGAGGATCGTGAAGAAAGATGCTTAGCTGTCCACTATCAGAGGAGCATTCACGAAAGGCTAGGTCCTCAGGGTGGTCAACCGGATAATCCTCACAATGAGGACCACGAGGAAAGACGCTCCGCTGCTTACTCTCAAAGAGGCAGTTCTCGTCGACAAGCTACAGGGAATCTCTCGCAGGCGCAGTCCACCAACACGCCGCCTAGGCAGCGCAGCCGAGAAGGTCGACCCTCGCAGACCAATAAGGAGGTCAATTAGCGTCGCCAACGAGACCGACCAGCAATTTGTGTGGAGGACATAGAGAAGCTTGTGAATGACCGACTTCGAGACTTGGAAGACCGACGGGAATTTCAAAGATGTACTACGTAAGGAGATCGACCAGGCAAACTCCACGCATTTCACGGCCGAAATCGAGCAGGCTGCTCCCCCGAAGCGGTTCTTAATGCCTTCGTTTACACACTTCAAAAGGGATTCTGATCCCGAGAGCCACCTAAAATACTTTAAAAGTGTCATGATCCTCCACAAGGCCGACGACGCGCTGATGTGCAAGGTATTTGTAATGACCTTGCGATGAGCAACCCAAGATTGGTTCCACACCCTGCCATCTGGGTCGATCAGCAGCTTCAATGAGTTAACGTACGTCTTCACCAAAGAATACACCTCTTACCGAACAATCAAGAAGAACCATGACCACCTGTACAACTTGCGCAAGAAGTCCGACGAATCCTTTTGAAATTACATTAAGAGATTCAAAGCAAAAAAGGCCAACATTGTAGGATGTGACGACCGAATCACGTCATCTGCCTTCAAGAAAGGTATTCCAGCTGAACACGACATGTACTGCGAGCTGACTATCACTTCCAGCCAGACTTTGGCAGAGGTCTACACGATCGCAGAACGCTACGCGTTCTGGGATGACGATCAAATCGCCGCAAAAAAGTCTACTAAGCAGGAAGATCAGCCGACTAAGCGGGTAGGCCAAAGAAACGATGGATTTAGCAATAAGAACAAGGATAAGCGCAGGTCACACCCACAAAGGGACGCTAAGGTAGGAGATGACTACACCAAGTTCACCATCCTCATACATCAAATCTTAGCCCAAGTGAAAGATAAACCCTGGGTAAAAAGGCGGCCACCGTTGAAAGGAGATTCGGACAAGAGGGATACTAGCAAATACTGTGCCTTCCACAGGACGCACGGACACACTACAAACAATTGCTTCGCTTGGAAAGCACACCTTGAAGAACTCGTGAGAGAACGTCACTGCATGGAATTCATCGCGAAGCAGGCCATCCAGCAGATTGAAGATCGAGACACCGCCAAGGAGCCGCCCCAGAAGGTCATAAGGATTAACACAATCCTAGTCGACACCAAGGAGTCGGAGCTGACCAGCAAGGAAAAGAAGAGGAAGATTAAACATGGCACTATGATCTCCCAAGTCTCGACTGACCTTCCATTAGCAAAAGACGATTCTATAATCGGCTTTCAAAAGAAAGATCTGATCAGTCTCGACATGCCACATAATGACGCCCTTGTCATCAGCATTCAAATCGCTCAGGCCATGGTCAACCGAATCCATGCAGACGAGGGCAGCGCAACCAATATCCGACAACTGGCGGTCATCTAGCAGATGGGCCTAGAGACAAAGATCAACAAATCAGCAAGATCGCTGATCGGCTTTAATGATGCAACAACAGTTACCATGGGCACGATAAACCTCAATGTCTACTCCCCGCCTGTAGTCAACTTGCAAACATTCATGGTCATTGATGAAGTCTCACCATACAAAGGCATTCTGGGTAGACAATGGATCGGTAAGATCAATGCCATCACATCTGCCATACATCAGAAAATTCGATGCCCAATCCATGGGGGCAGTGTTGGCCAAATCAACAGCGATCAGGCAATAGCGAGGAAATGCTCCGCCCAAGGGCTGAAGAAAAGCAAACAAGCGCAGTTCCTCCCTGTGAGCCAGGCAGATCTGAATGAGGTTGAACAACTGAAATCTTGCTCTCTTATAGCAATCAAAGCATTATGACCAAGCCGAGGAAATTTGTACACAGGTCTTTCCTGAAAAAAGATGGAAGCCCGAGGAAGACGTCGAGTTAATACCCTCGGATCCTAACCAGCCAGACCAGAAAGCACGGATCGGCTCGCACTTAACCCCAGAAGAGAAGGTGAAGCTGACCACATTCCTCCAAAACAACAAAGACATGTTCGCATAATCACCGTCGGACATGCCTGGCATCGACCTGAACATCATCTGTCACACGTCAACCATGCCTGTAAGCCAGTGGCGAAAAAGAGACGCAACTTCGCACCCGAGCGAGTCGCTATCATCGAAGCCGAGATTGATAAACTCTTAGATGCTGGTTTCATCGAAAAGGTCTCCTACTCAGAGTGACTTGCCAATGTTGTTCTGGTGGCAAAACAAGAGAATGGCAAGTGGAGAGTCTGCGTCGATTACATAGACCTCAACAAAGCATGCCCAAAAGACAACTTCCCATTGCCGAGAATCAACCAACTCGAGGATTCCACTTCTGGCAATCAGCTACTTAGCTTCATGGACGCCTACTCCAGCTACAATCAAATTTGGATGATAAGGAGAAAACTTCTTTCATCATCGAGAGAATGACCTACTGCTACAAAGTCATGCCCTTTGGGCTCAAGAACGCCAGAGCAACCTATCAAAGGCTCATGAATAAAATCTTCAAGGAGCAGATCAGCAAAACTATAGAAGTCTACATGGACGACATGCTGGTCAAGGCCCCAAAGCTTGCAGATCACATCCAAAACCTCGCTGAGGCATTCAGCCTGCTTCGCTGGCATCGCATAAAATTGAATCCAAGTAAATGCACGTTTGGTGTATCCTCCGGCCGATTCCTAGGATACCTAGTCATGCAACAAGATATCGAGGCACACCCACGTCAAATCAAAGCCATTCTCGAGATGAATTCGCCCTCCAACGTGAATGAGATACAAAGTCTGACGGGCAGAGCAGCGACCCTCAACTGATTCCTCTCGAGATCAACCGGTAAGTGCATACTATTCTTCAAAGTTTTGAAGAAATGACAAAAAGACAAATGGGATGAGGAGTGCGAAGTAGGTTTCCAGAATCTGAAGACTTATCTTACTTCACCTCCTCTGCTCTCAAAGCTAGTCTCTAGTGAAGACTTGTTCGTGTACCTGGCAGCGTCCAACTCAGCTGTCAGCTCAGTTCTTATTCGAAAAGAGCTAGGGGCCCAACATCCGGTATTATACACTTCAAAATCTCTCATCGATGTAGAGACTCGCTACCCGAAATTGGAAAAGCTCATTTTGGCTCTTTTAGTTTCCGCGAGAAAGCTGCGACCCTACTACCAAGCTTATCGAGTCATCGCCATAACCGACTTTCCTTCGAGATCAATTATCCACAACCCTGACGCTTCTCAGCGACTCATGAAGTGGGCTATAGAGCTAAGCCAATATGACCTTTTCTACAGGCCAAAAGCTGCAATAAAAGCCCAGACTTTTGCAGACTTCGTAGTAGAATTCACCCTATCGGCCGAAGAAGAGAAATTGGTCAACAAAAAGAAGGAAAGTTCAAAAGCAGACGGGACCTCCGCTGAGCATGTGTCGTCATCATCACCCTGGATGAAACCTTGTTGGAGCAAGCTATCACGCTTGGCTTCCTGGCCTCGAACAACGAGGCAGAATACGAGGCGTTGCTCACCAGCCTATGCTTGGCAAAAGAACTCGGAATCAAAAGGCTAGCCATCTACTCAGATTCCCAGCTGATCACGAATCAAGTGTCAGGAGAATACATGACGAAGCATCCAAGGATGATCTTGTACCTTGACAAAGTCTAAGAGTTGTTAAAGGCGTTTCCTACCTTCACCATCCAACAAATACCCCCGGCAGAGAACCCGCATGCAGACGCTCCATCTCGGTCGAACACCTTGACCGACCAAGCATTGAAGAAATAGAGCCGATCGACATAATGCAAATTGACGAGGACCCCAGCTGGCAAGACCCTATCATCGACTACTTAGTGAATGGAAACCTACCAACGGACAAGTCCGAAGCTAGGGAGGTCCAGCAGAAGGCCGCGAGATGCTATGTGCACTGCAGCAAGCTCATCCGCAGATCATACTTTGGCCCTCATCTCATCTGCATAAGGTACCCTCAAACACTTGAGGTCCTCTACAAAATTCACAGTGGCGAGTGTGGCAACCACTATAGGGGCAGATTACTCGTCTAGAAGGCTCTAAACACATGCTACTTTCGGCCTATCATGCGCCACGACTCCACCGAATATGTCAAGAAATGTGATCCATGCCAGCGATACAAGCCGATCCCTAACTTACCTGCCGAAGTCTACCATTCATGCAATGGGTCATTGACTTAGTGGGACTCTTGCCACCCGTGCCCGCCAAGAAGGACATGATAATCGTCGCCACCGACTACTTTACTAAATGGATCGAGGCCGAAGCTCTATCCTCTATTAAAGAAGCCGATGTGAAGCGATTCATCTGGAGAAACATCATCTGCCTATTTGGTTGCCCACAATCGCTGGTTACTGACAGCGGCTCACAGTTCATTAGCAGGCAGATCACCGCAAAACAGTCGCCCATAAGCAGCGTCTTAAGGGAGACGCAGGGTGGCAACTAGAAGCGTCCTTCGGGAGACACAACCCATAAAAAGCATCCTAAGGGAGACACATGATGCACTAAGAATTTCCTAAGGGAAGTATACAGGTTCCTATCCGTTCACTAAGGGGGGCAGGTAGTTCTACAGTTGCTCATAAGTAGCGTCCTTCGGAGATGCAGGGCGACAACCAAAGCGTCTTTCGAGAGACGTAGCCCGTAAAAAGCATCCTAAGGAAGACGTAGGGAGGCAGGATAGTCACACAGTTGCCTATAAGCAGCGTCCTTCGGGAGACGCAAGGCGACGACCAAGGCATCCTATAGGATGTGCAGAACACGCCCGGAGCCCTTTAAGGAGGGCCCTGACACTCGCCAACTTCCTAAGGGGAACCATCCTAAGGGATGTGCAAAACACGCCCGGAGCCCCTTAGGAGGGGCCCTGACACTCGCCAATTTCTTAAGGGGAACCATCCTAAGGGATATGCAGAACACACCCGGAGTCCTCCCAAGGGGACCCTGGCCCTCATGAATCACCATAGGGAGATGTGCAATCAAGACACAGGCTGGTTACTCAAGTAGTTCACAAATCAATATGCAAACTGAAGTGAAAAATAAACTGAAATTTTCATAACAAGCTGACTAATCGGCCAAGTTCAACAAAAAGAAGATGGTCAAATAAGACCAATTATTATAAGCAAGAAAGCAAACTACAAAACCTGAGAAGAAACAAAGAAGTCTTCATCTACTCTGGGACGCCAGAAGGAGACCTCTGAGCTACAGCCTCTTCGGCCTCCGCCTGATCATCCACGCCTTCAGTGACTCTATCTACCTGCTCTGCGACATCTGCCATCATCTCATCTACTGTGTCCTCCTCTGCTTCATCCTCTCTGGCTGCCTCCTCTTTAGCTCCTCCTTCCACAGGGGGTAAGTCGGGGCAGAGCGTCTTGATGTCTACGTCATCAATTGTATACAAGGGAGTAGTCCCATTTGCGCAGTGCAGGTAGCCTAACTTGTACGCATCTATGATGGCTTCAGACTTGGATTTTTCTACGGACTTGTGGTCTGCATGAAATCTAGCTAGGAGCTTGTCATAGCTAAAGGAGATGTCAGCATTCTTACACTCAAGACAAAAAAAGGCATATTTTCGACTAACCAAATCAGCGGCAAGAGAGTTGAGCTAGGAATCCTTCTCAGTAAGGAAGCTTTTCAGCTCAATTATCATTGCCCTCAAATCAGATGTCTTCTTTTCATAACGGGCCTGCTCGGTGGAAAGCTGGCTGGCCAATTCAGCGTTCTTCTCCAACTCGCTGAGCTGGGCAGAAGAGGGGGCAACAATAAATGAGTTTCGAATAGTTTCAGCAGCAAAAACCAATCCTTTTTGAATCAGATGGAACGTTGCTTCCCTTTGTTTTTCCAAGGAAATGCACGAGAAAGTGCCAAGATCGCCGGCCTGACGGATGTGATCAACCAACTCAGCACAAGAAGACGGGTTTGATAGGAAGTACGTCTTGAGTAGATCAAACACGCGGGCATCCCTTATAGGGCTAGACTTGTTCGCCTTGGGATCAACGGCCAACGCTGGAGAAGAACACTTAGCCTGGGCAGATGACTCTCTCATCCTCATAGCCTCCGCCAACCTCATCTCCAAAGGAGTCAATGATACTGAATCAACTCCACGCCTGACTGCCCGTGACTCAACAGCTGGATCATGAGCAGACTTCCCGCTTCGATCTCCATCTTTTGACCGATGTAGACGACTCAAACTTCGAGGAGGAATGTTTGCATCTCTTTGATGCTCGGCAGACCTAGGTCAGGCACGAGCTGCCTCACGAAGCACATCATGGTTCTCGAGCGTGTCAGCAGGAGGCTCGGGCAGAACACCCTGAACACCACGCATACCACCAACCTTCCTACTATATACACAAACAAGATGTTTAACCCTGGCAGATGACAATGAAACAGCTCTCACTTGAGTCTTCTTAGCAGAAGGGATCCTTGGCTT